TCTGTCTGACGATAATGTAATCTCCTCGCGCAGTAAAGTGAGGGAGAAAAGAATTCGCCTAACGCAGCATTCGGTGGGTCTACATATACTAAACTTCTTTTAATTCATAAGAAACCTATTCAGATATGATACGCAATCGTAGTAATGTTTTTCGTTTCGTAATAAGTGCTCAAGTAGTGACATCATCGATACACGCATGCCGCTACAAGCTGCCACAAGATAGCGGCCATCGTTTTAATACGATCGATATGTAAATTTTTGGCATTTATTGCGAAGAAAATGATTTTCACCACTGAATTTTAACAAAGTGTTTTTACTCTTTTAAATCTTCTGTCAGCAATTAGAAATATATATAGCATGATTTATTTTAATCTTATTTTTAAGATCACTGTTAAGATTAGAATAAATCACCTTGTTTGTATCCCTGTTTTTTTAACGCTCTATAAATTTATATCGAAAAAAATGCGTGTCACATCTGAAGATGTTCATTTCGTAAGTCTCTTTGCATTGACATGAGTTTACACTGATTAATTGTTGCTCTGGCATCCCGAGTCGAAATTTAAAACCTACTATAAACCTCATACATGGTTATTTGTGCCTCTAATAATGTTCCTTGACCTACAAGTTCTATCTTGAAAGTGTTATGTCTTCTTTTGGCCTTTCTTTAATCTTGTTGTCCTAGAAAACTCTTATTTTTATTGTGTTAAATATACAATTCCTACTTTCGTTCTTACAACTCTTACCTCTTTTGAATCTCCAAATCTTATCGAAATTTCTAGCAATAAAAATATTAATATTTAATCTATAATTGAGTTCAATTTCTATTATTTCAGATTAATATAATAAATGTTATAATATAAAATAAATAATAACAAATGAATAGTAAAAAATATTTTAAAAAATTAAGTGCAACTCAGTATTATATTTAGTATTATAAATAACTAAAAATTTATTCGAATAAACAAAAAACAATTAAAATTCAAAATTTTATTTAATATTTTATTACATATTTGACCTATAATTCGAAATTATTTAATATTCTATTACCACATTTACTTGTATTTAATGCATATCTTAATTTCAATAAGCGCAATACATTAATTATGTAATTTACTTAACTGCAGATAGATATGTAAGAGATAAGTGAATATTATAATATTTATATAATATTTGCTTATAGTAGTCTATTTACAGTTAAGCAAATTAAGTAAAATTAGTTTTTGCCATTTTCTCTCACCATCGGGGTGCTTTATTTCGGTGAGTCCTTTCGCCTCTCACTATTCAATTACAATAAATGCTCGAAATGATGACCTTCCATTTCGATGCATGTATATTGTAGTTCATTGATTTATAGTATTTACTTTGTTTCTATCAGTATTATTTGATTCCTTATCTCTTCAAGATCAAGACTGTTAGCGCTTGCTGTTTTCAATGTGATTGGAAAGAGAATTAACGAACGATTTTATCCGTTTTTGTTTAGAACAAAAATGTCACCGGTGTTCACAAGCGGCAAATTGAAAAGTCTATTCTTGTTGATGGTGGAATCCGGAGAACTGATGGGTGCGCATCTACGTAGTCAAATCTCCAATGATTCCAAGTTCAAATCAATTTCCATCAATATATAATATTATTAGTAGAATTAGCCGTAAATTTGTCAAGTAGTGTAAACTGTGTGTCAAATTTAAAAAGTATAAAATGTAATTATATGACTTATATCTACAGTTCATTTAATAAAGAGACGGTAAAAAGAAGCGTACCTCAGATCAGCAATTGTCATATTGTGAGCAATTGAAAAATATAAAATCACAGAATTAATAACTACTTAAGGATTTATAATGTGTGTATTCGTTGACGTTTCAGAAAGGGACAGAAGAATGTAAAATTAGATGAGAAACATTAAGGAAATAAGGAGAGGAGGGGAGGGGTATTAAGAAAGGATATTTTATAGAGTGGGGAACTTCCTAAGGTAGATATGTGTTCGGTAAAAGTTCGGTGTCGCTCTGTTTATTTAGCCCTGTGTTTTAAATTTTGACACAAGGTCGGTGTTCTATTAGTACGGACACATAGGAGATTTCACACATTCTGTCGTTGAAAGACTTTAGGTGATAATTCATACTACTTGACAAATTTACGGCTAATTTTACTGATAATTTTATACATTGACTGTCTACTTGACATTGTTAAATCCGCTGCTAACTATATTCACAGCACGATTGTCAATCCGAATACGGCCAATTAATGGATTTTATACATACTACTGCCATTCTACGAGTTGCGTTTTTATTTGTATTCGTTAACGTTTCCTCCATACTGAAGATGGTTGAAATATTTGACTGTATGTATAAGCGTTTAATGTTAAAATAAGTGATTGAGCACTGAGATCCAGCTACGGCTCTATTTGCTTTATATTATTTATTCTATTATAAAATAATAGAAGAGCCTTCAACTATTATTAATTATGTTATTAAGAACGATTTTATCTTACTTTTCCAATCAACCTTACGTCTCGTTCTTCTCGCAGGCTGCCGACCGGCCAAGATGCGACACAAGGAAGAATCCGTCTTCGCGCCCAGGTCGCTGTTCGACAGGCCTTCACCAGCGTTAATGAAGATGCGTCGCGATATGAAAATGCACAACAAGTATCGCACGATTGCGCGTGCGCCGGTGCCGGTGTTAAAGACTTCGTCGCACGTGACTGTGATTGTTTCAGACGGTTTTAGCAGCTCATAAGACACTACGCCGAGCTGGTCCCACCAAATACAGAGCATGACCTTTGAGCTGTGAATATTCGGTTTGGCCGTCGACGTGGAAACATGGCCGGAAAGTCCCCATGATTTTCTGCGCTTGGGGTTATCATAATAAACCCATTTTTCGTCCCAGTCACAATGCGATGCAGAAATCCCTTCCGTCTTTGCCTTTCAAGCAGCTGTTCACAAGCAAACAAACGCCGTTCAACATCTCTCGGCTTTAAGTCGTACGGCACCCAATTTCCTTGTTTCTGAATCATTCCCATGGCTTTCAGACGTTTTGAAATGGCTTGTTGAGTCACTCCCAATGATCCTGCCAATTCTTCTTGCGTTTGACACGAGTCTTCATGAAATAATGCCTCCAATTCTGCATCTTTGAAAACCTTCTCTCTTCCACCACCATGCCGGTCTTCGATGTCAAAATCACCGTTCTTGAAGCGTTGAAACCACTCACGACACGTTTTTTCACTAATAGCGGTCTTGCCATAAATATTTGAGAGCATTTGATGAGCCTCAGCTGCAGATTTCTTCATATTGAAGCAAAAAAGTAAAACCTCCCGCAAATGACGAGAATTTGGCTCGTAAACTGACATTTTCAATCGAGAATAACTTTACGATGCGGACACAAATCGACTAATGTTTTGATGGGGTTATGTTGACAAATGCCCAAGCTTATTGTATGACGTCTACATCTGTTTATTTCCACCACCACATACCGCTAAAGCCATTCTATTGGAAAACGGCGGAAGCAAAGTTGTACACCTAATACATTTGGACGTAACTCTCTGCCATGATAAGGGAGGTCTTTCCACGGCCGTCTTCTTGGATATCCAAGCGGCATATGACAACGTGCTTAACGATATATTAATTAATAAATTATCCTCAGCTGGAGTTTCTAGCAGAATGTTGGCATACATCCACAACCTGGTTTCATTCAGAAGGGTCTGCTTCAAATTCGGCAGTATTGATGAGATAAGATCGGTGTTAGAGGCCTTCCTCAAGGCAGTGTTTTAAGTCTCTTACTGTATATCATATACATCAAAAATCTGGAATACACTATAGAAAACCCGGTCAAGATCTTACAATACGCAGACGATGTTGTTCTTTATAGATGTGACAACCGTATTCCATACATTCTTCAATCCTTAGAGAAGGCTTTGAACTCAGTGTGCAACTTTTTAAAGAACATAGGCTTGGAACTATCTACAAATAAAACAAAATTTGTGGTTTTTGAACCCGGACTAAGGGCTAAAAGACCTGGCCTACATTCATTACAAATTGGAAAAGATGTGATTCATAATTCATCGCACGCTAGATTTTTGGGCTTGGTTTTTCAGGCAAATCTTGGATGGGACGCTCAGATTAAGAAATTAAAGAAAGCTGTCAGACTCTTCTAAAGATTATTAGTTGTATCAGACACGTTTGGTGGGGTGCGGATCCTGATCTTATGCTCATCATTTACAGGTCGTTAATTAGATCTAGACTGGAGTATGGCACCTTTCTGTTTCAGAGGATTTCTACCTCTGCAATGAATCTCCTATCAAGGATCCAATATCGAGCGATTCGCTTATCCTTGGGCTTTCGTCAGTCTACTCCTACTAACATCCTCTTGGCTGAGGCTAGGGAACCTTCTCTGATGCAGAGATGGGCATATCTGGCTAGCAACTTTGTTTCTAGAATCTGGACGTGGTTGAACCATCCCCTAAGAGAAATCATGGACAATGTTATTGAAGGTAGAGATACGCCTACTTACGTTCAAAAAATTAACGAATCCACTCTAATTACATTTTTTAGGAAACTTCAGGACATTCTTCGAGTTTTGGAATCAAGCCCGAAATTTTTAGAGTAACACTGGCTTTCCCTGTTCTATGTTCCCAATGTGGTTTTTGACAGGGGTAGGCAACTGTGTGAATCCAGCTCTGTTCAACAGGACTTTGAAAAAATTTTCGCATACGAGAATATTTGCATTAAATGCATCTACACGGATGGCTCCAAAAAGCCTAATTCAAAGTTTTGTGGCTTTTCGGTCATTGCAGATGAGGAAATTTTCCGGTACAGATCCCGCAATCCCGACCGTGACGAGTGCGAGCGGCGCCATAATCAAAGCGAAGGCGGCCGCGGCTAGTGTGAGCTTGAGCAACGTACCGACCACCACAGTGGTCACCACGACGGTGAAGGCTCGGCCCGGTGGAGGCGGGCAGATGACCATGCAGAACGTGAGGACGACGTCGGCGAATGTGTTGAATCTGCAGCAGACCACTCAGCGAATCGCGGCAGCAAGCTTGGTATCTGCGAGTCAGACTTCCGTTAACGCAGCGAGTGGTCAGAAGGGCGGCCTGGTGGGCGTGACGGTAGCGGCGTCAGCGAATAAGAACACGGCGCAGTTACTATATTTCAGACAGCAGCAGGTGCTGATGCGACAGCAGCAGCAACAGCAGCAGCAACAGCAGCAGCAGCAGCAGCAGCAACAGCAGCAGCAGCAACAGCAGCAGCTCAAGGTGCTGCGGCGGCGGCGGCGCAGCAGCAGCGTACGGCAGCTACGACTTTGATGAAGCAAAGTATCGCTGCGGCCGGTGCTACGGGCGCCGTGGCGGCGCAAACTGGCAAGCAAACTGTAACTAGAACGGTGTCGGATACGGAGATGGCTGCTTTGCTGAAGCGACAGGCGCTATAGCAGCAAGCGAAAGCGGCCGCTGCCGCAGCGGCAGTTGCGCAGGTTCAAGTGAGTGTTGTTTTTCTTTCTTTTTCTTTTTTTTTCTTTCCACAGGCGTAAAGGAGTAAATCGTCAATTTTGTCGTAGGTGCCCACACAAGCGAACCTCTCGACGGCGCAGATCTTCGCCCAGGCTGGCTTGCAGATGCAACAGGCGGGGACTTCCGCTGGCGGCACTCCGGTGGCGACCCTCGTGAAAACAGCGAACGTAGCGGGCGTTCGTACCGCGACCCCGCAACAGATCCGCCAGCTCGCGCTTCATCCGCAAATCATCGCCCAGCGGAAGCTGCCGGCGCAGAAAGTCGCGCAGCTGGCGCAGGTCGCGAGTAAAGCCGGCGTGCAGACGCAGCTGATCGTGCAGCAGAAATCGCTGCCCTCGGCCATGACGGTGCAGCAAATCCAGCAGATGATGAAGCACTCCTCGGCGATGCAGCAATTCAGCCATGTGCGTGAAACATATTACGCCAATCGATATAATTGAAGAACGTCCCGCCGAACAAAGTAACAATTGACAATCTTGCAAGCTTCCACGGGGCAAACGGTGTCTCAGGCCAGCCAGGTGGTGCTGGCCAAATCGCCGCTGCAGACGCGTGTGATACCAGTCGCATCTGGAGCGTTGAAGTAGACCATTCAGGTGGTGACTGCTAGTAATGCTCAACTGTGACAGGCCGCGCCTATTCAGGGAAAGCCGGTTGCTGGCGCGGTAAGACGGAGTCCCGGTCCGGGCCCGAACTCGGGCGCGAGTCCGGGCTCCTCCACTTCTGGTCCCAGCGGCGGCGCAGGTGCCAATCCTGGCGCTGCTTCCGCGACCGCTTCGAATCTGACTTCCCCCGTCGGCCTTGGTCAAGTAAGATTGCAAACAATGGGACACTCGCAGCAACAGCAGGCGCAACAGCAGCAAACTCAGCAGGACGCTCAATCTAAATAGCTTTGGACGATCGCAATGGGACAATGATCGCTTGAATTAAATTGGGAAATTCAGAAACTGGATTGGCTTTGCGTATGTTAAGAAAAATCTTACAGATATTGTAGGCTAAGGATTAATCATTTTTAGAGTCTTTCTGTTTAGAATACACGTAGAAGGGAATAATAAGTGTGAGATATCAGTATATTACGAGTTACACATGATTATTAACAACAGAAAATATTAATTTGAAGTGAAATGTTAGAATATTTTCGATAAACTGTTTAGTGGAGAAAACAATGGTTGGAAATTATTTTGGATTTATTAATGGCGAGAATAAAAGTTTGCCCAAAATAAAATGTTATTTGGTCGTTTTGGTCTTTAGCCGATTATTAATGAAGAAAATAGATAATTATTTTTTATGAATAATATTACTTTAAATATAAGTAAAAGTTTCTAATTTTCCCAATTTAATTAAACGTCAAACATTAGCAAGTTTAAGTTTTTCTTTTTCAATATTAGTATAATTTTAATAATCATAAGTAAAAGTTTGAATTTGACGATACATGTCGGTGCAATAGTAGCCATAAAAAACAAAGCATTCCAAAATTTGCCGCAAACAGCCGTATATTTTCGACATAAGAAGTGACGTTCGTTTATAACTTTGCTTTTTTGCCGTTTTATTTTTGTTTCTAGGAAGAATTAATAATTAACCGTTCGAGTGCCGAACGGCGCGATCGCGCTTCTGCTGTTTCATGACAAAAAATGCTAAACAACGTAATCGACGTTACAAAACGAAGAGTTTCGATTTGCTAAAACTTCGAGTTTTGTAACACAAATGATGAACTATAATAAAATATCCAAATCGGTTCGGTTTATCACTGACAGATGATACGGTAGCATTTTTAGATACGGAAACAGTGCTCTCAGATATACCGGGCTGAGCGCGTATGCGAGGCCTAATGAAGTATTTAATACGCGCGTCCGGCGACTCGTTGTTAACACGTGAGCGGCAAAAAGGGAACAGTGGGTGTCAGTCATGAAAATCAAGCCGAAAATTGCAACTATGTAATTTCCATCTCTAAAGTATTATATCGAAAGGAGATGCTATATGACTCCCTTTAAAAGTTGCTTTCAAAAATAGGTAAAAAATTAATAGGCGCTTTACATGATAAAACATATCTACACGTTAAAATAGTATATATTTTCTTTAGGATAAGGAGCCATCCTTCAAAACCATTTTTGTCTAACCGTGAAGAAATTTGTTTGTTTTCTATTAGCTTCTTTCTTAGCATTATTATCCATATTATATTATTTTATATAATTTTTATATTATATATTAATTTTAATATTATATATTACAATATTAGCCTTCTTTACCATTCACTTACTCATAATTCAACCCTATCCTGTCCTGCGTATGCGCTGGAATTCGTTAAAAGCGCGCCACTATCTTCGTTAGGCCGTGTACGCGCGCCCAGCTCGGCATATCTGAGAGCACTGCGGAAGCAGTGCGATTGCGCCACGTCGCACTCGAGCAGTTAATATTTTGAAGATTATAAACTTTCGGAAGAGAGCGTGTACTAGTGATAGCGCAACTGAACATTGATTGCTCTAAAACGTAGAACTGCATACCAAAATAAAATACTATAATCAATATTCAGTGAAGAATGTGAAGGAACGATTACAGCGAAAAATAAAGTATTCTCGAGAAAGAAATGATTTAGTAAATTAAAAACTATTAATTCTCTCATCCATCTTTTCACTACGAAACAAATCTGTATTGCAAGGACGATGACGTAATTTTTTTATTTTCAAGAACGATCTTATTCGGGGAAGAGTATCTTTTCCCAGCGAAGAGTGTGAGGCGGTATTTTGAACAATATTATGCGACTAACAAATAAATTTGAAATTGTATAAAAA